CTGAATTATAGTGACAATAGCAAACATTTAATTAGTGCTTGCTATGAGCAAAGTGCTTTAATCCTCACAAGAACACACTGAGGTAGGTAATATTCTCATTCCAAGTTTACCGATGAGAAGAGTAAATCCCAGATAGGTTAAATAAACTTCCCAGTAACACAGCTAATAAGCAATGGATATGAAACTGGTATCCTAATCAGTTTGTTCTCAGAGCTAGTACTCTTAAGCATACGTGTTTTATCATTTGGTAATTCTACATATAGACAGTATTTCTTTCTTAAGTTGGCTGGAAGCTACACATTAAGAAATAAATCATTGTGGATGAGAGTAGACTTTTGTAATCAAATTCTCTTACAGAGTATTACTAATGACTATTACTGATAGTAGGTAATTTTGTTCATTTCCCCTTTTGCTATAGAACTGCTCCAATGGGTCCTAAATATGGATTCACTTCACCATGGCAGGCCACAGCTTCATAAGCAAGCTGGAACCTCCACCACCTGCATCCCTGGCTCTGATGCTATATAATGGCCTATTTTACTTGTAGTCAGAGATGGCATCCTAAGACAGTCCCTTTTGCTATTTTTTGGGATACCTCCTTCTTATTCAAGGGGCAGTTCCTCTTATATTTCCTCCTTTACATTGAGGGTTTTGCTTTATTGTCCTGTGCTAAAACCTGGCACTGCAGTGAGACCACTAGCCAAACAATTCATGGGGACCTTCCTAAATGTTACCTACAATAAACAAGAGCAGACAGACCCACAATACTAGCAGGCACCAGCCAAGAAGGAAATTCTGAACAGAACTCTGTCTACTGACATACTTGTTTCTAGTCTAGAATATGGTAAAAGAACACAGGTTTAGGAATTAGGACTTTAGTGTGCGAGTGTCCGGGTAAATTCTCATGGAAGTGCAAATTATTTAATCACTCTGGGCACCAATTTTCTCATTTGTAAACAGAGATAACAGTTATTTTCCAACTTTACAAAGTGGAGATGATTAAGTATCTTAGAGCATTTTGAAAAATAGAAGGCACCACACAAATAAAATGTGAAGTATATGGTATTTCCATGCAGCACATTAATACAAGCATAACAATGGAGCTTATAGGAAATTCAATCAGTGTCCAGGAGCGGTGTATTTGCAAGTCCTTTCTATGCAAGAAGATCCTGATGGCTACAGGAAATAAGATTGAGAACAGGTTCTAAGGAAATTTGCTCTTTTGTCTCTAATCTTTATAGCATGACATTTTGTTTACAGGTTTGGTTTTCAGCTCAGCTGATTGCAGACTTCTCTGCAAAGGCTCTGCTGCCAGGATGAAAGCAAAAGGTACATACTATCCTTCCAAATTGGAAATATGAGGCTTAAGCTAATTGTCAAGGGTAAGAAAGAGATCCCAAAGAGCAACACTTAGATTTTTTAGTTTGAGGTATCTAGTTTAGGATAGGCTTTTTGTGATAAGCAAAGTTTAAAATGGTTCTCCTCCCTACCCCACCTCAAGGTGTCCTGCCCTAATCTTTGAGACTCTGAGTATAATGAGATATCGTGCCTACTATTATGAATGTATTTAATAGTGCTAATCAGTTGACTTTGAATTAGTCAAAAGAGAGTTAATCAGGCCCAGGCAGGCCTAATCAATTACTTGTGCCCTTTAAATGCAGAGAATTTGCTCTGATGGGCAGCAAAAGAGGAAGTCAGAGAGATTCCAAGTAAAAGATAGAGTCAACATGGCCCTGCTATCTTAGAAGGTGGAGGGGTCATGTGGCAAGACATGCAGGTGGCCTCCAGAATCCGAGAGTGGCCTCAGCCAATAGCAAGCAAGGAAGCTTCTATTTCCATCTTACAACTGCAAGGAACTGAATCCTGCCAATAACCAAAAGGAGCTTAGACGTGAATTCTTCCCAGATCTTCTAGGTAAGAGCCCCTCCTGGCCAACAATTTGATTTTGGCCTTGTAAGACCCCAAGGAGAGAATTTGGTTAAGCTTGCCTGCAATGACCTACAGAGCTATGAGCTAATAAATGGGTGCTATTTTAAGCTACTAAGATTGTGGTTATTTTTACAAGCAATAGAAAATTCATACACTATTGTCTACATTTATGTTTCTACATTGCATTTATTCCTGTTTTGACTCCTTGTTTTACCACTGAAAGCTGTATTCTGTCTTCCTTATAGTTGTGACTAGGAGTTCTTTTTCTACTGACTTCATCTCCCAATGATAGATGATACATCTGATATTTAATATGGATGAGACATAGTCATGCATTCTTTCATTCTATAAACAGTCATTAAGTGCCTATTATGTGCACTAATGCACATATCTGGGAGTAGAATAATGAAACAAACATTGTCTTTGTTCTCATGGAGCTTGCATTCTGGCAGACAAAACAAGTAATTATCAAATAAACTATAACATCAGCCACTGTGAAGTGTAAGAAAGGATGATTGGTGAGGTCAGTGGCCAGCTACTGTTGGCTACGGCAAGGAATTTAGATTTAATGGGGAAGTTGTTGGAGGGCTTTGAGTAGAGGAGTAGCCAGATTAGAATTTTATTGTAAAAGGATCACTCTGACTGCTTTGTAGATAATACATCCAACTGGGAGGTTGTGGGTGGGAAAGTAAAGTGGAAGAGGTGAGGGGAGGTGAGAGGGCTAGGTAAAGGCAGAAGTCTGAAGGAGACATACTGGTGGCCAGTACTAGATGGGAGTGGTAAAGGTCATGGGAAGTGATTACATTTGGAATATATGTGAAGGCAGAAGAATATTAAACTGAAAACTAATCTTCAGCTCTTGAATATAAGTGGCTGAGGTGGCTTTTGAGTGATCAGCTCAACTCCTTTACTCCCCATTGATTGAGTACTCACCTTGCATACCAGATGGCATTCAGAATCCAATTTTGGTTGGCACATTTCATATATGATTTCACTTACTCCTTAAAATAGTCATATGAAGTGGATAACTTTAATCCTATTAATATTGTTCCACATCATAGATATTCAGGGTTGTTTATAAACAGATAAAATTGTGTGTTTGCATGTGTGTTTACCAGCAGTTTGATGTTGAATCCTTTCTACAAGTTCTATTCTACTTGAAAACTAACCACGCTCTCTTTCTTTTAAAACTTTTTTTCTTTTGCATATGGTTCTTGATCTGGATGTCAGAGGCCAGAACCTGTCAAGAGCAGGTAATTATAGCTAAGTCCAGGGATCCTGGAATGGAATTTTTACTTTTGACATTTTCTTCTACATTTAGAACATATGGCCTGGAGCAAAGACTGTGCTTGCTCTGATCCCAGTTTCCATAAACATTGTTGTCTTTTCTGAGTGTGCCACTAGAGCAAAGAAGAGCATCCGGAGAGATTATTCTATATGATGCTGAGTCAGAGCGCAGTCTCTGTAGTGTCACTAGTTGAAAGCAGAATGCTATTTTAGGTTTCCACCTCCAACACTTGATTTTGAAAGCTCTCTAACACATGCAAGTCATGGAGTACCTGATTGTCTAAAATGGTCTAAAACAATTAATTATTAATTATTCACGATTCCTTTAAAATCGAGTTGTTTAAAATGAAAACTAAAGCCAAATATATAACATCAATTCTCCTGGCATACTTTTAGGAAGTGAAAAGGATAATTTCTGTTTCTTTCTCTTTTTTTTTTTTTTTTTTTTTAAAGCCTATGGCACCTGGTATTCCCCTGCAGTCTCCCATCCAAGTACTAACCTGCTTAGCTTTCAAGATCAGGCATGTTGAGTGTGGTATGGCTGTAGACAATTTCTGTTTCTTAAATGATTATTTTAAATACCTACTATGCATCAGTCTCTGCGTCAGAAACTTAGGCCACCAAGATAAGTAAAACATAACCCAGTGCCTTCCCTCATGGAGCTTTAACTCTAGTAGAATAAAACATCATTAATCAAGTACTAATACAAATAAGTCCATAGTTGCAAACTGAGAAATATTATGAAAGAAAAAGCAACACAAATCTTACTTCCATATTAAGTATAAAAAAGACCTTGCTGCATGTGTATTTATTTATGTCCTGAGAAAATTTAGAGAAAAAATGAAATGAATTATGAAAAATATGCATACTCATAAACTTTCAGGGAGCTATTAATTAGGAAAAATTTTAAAATAAACAAAATATTATTATTTTTTCATTAACAAAGCACAGCATTAGCATTTGACCTTTTACAAATTCCACATAGTATTGCCACCCTACTGAGCTAGCATGGCACACAGCCTGCATCTCTTTATATAACTTCTGTATTTTTGTCTTTATTCATTCATTTATTGTTCTATCAAGAAAACCTCTGTTATCTTTTCCATAAAATTCCTAGCCGTTGCATAAATCTCAAAATTGTATGACAACAATAAAAATAACACTTGTCATTACATTCCTATTATGTGCCAGGCATTATATATGTGTATGCATATTCTCATTTAATTTTTTGGCAACCTTGAAATGTAGGTACAGTTGACTCTTTGTATCTGTGGGTTCCACATCCATGGATTAAACTAACTAGGTATCAAAAATACTTAGAAAAAAATTGCTATTGTACTTACCATTATCATTGTCATTATCCCCTAAAAATACAATAATAACAACTATCTACATAGCATTATATTAGGTATTATAAGAATTCTAGAGATTATTTAAACTCTATGGGGAGGATATACACAGGTTTCATGCAAATATGATGCCATTTTATAAAAGGGACTTGAGCATGCTTGGATTTTGATATTTGAAGGAGGTCCTGAGACAAAACCCCCACAGATTATGAGGGATAACTATGTTAGCCTTATTTCATATGAGGAAGCAAGGCCCAGAGAAATTAGTACGTTACTCAAGGCAATGCAGATACTTGTTATTTTAAATTCAAATCAGGCTGATCAGGTTCTAGGTCATGCATCTTTTCATTACACTATTATGGTAAAGATAATGACATATGTACAACAATAGTTACATTTCAAGGTGATGTGTGATGACTGCTATGTTCTGATTAGAAACAGTGGCATTTTTAGCTGAAGTGGCTAAGTAGAGGATACCATTTCCTGTATTTACCAGTTCCCAGATCTGCCACACTTTTTCTTTTTGAGGTCTCTGCCTAGTACATCATCATAACCCTCTCCTTTATCCATACACATTGAGGGTCCTTACAAATGGAGGAGAAAAGACTATTGCTGTCTTTAAAAGTGTTCTCCACTAAAAGTTTTATTAGGAGTATAGGAGACAGATTTGTAGTCTAATGTACTTACTTCACTTCTCATTCCTGTTTTCATAAGAGATACTCAATTTATGATTCAAGGCTGTCTCAGTGTATCAAATAGGTATGTAATATCATTTTCTTGCTTTTAGCAGTAATGGCATATTTAATGTCTCCACTCTGAATTTCTTTGTTGATTTAGAAGGCTCATGAAGTCCCATCTGGTAGCATCTTGTGAGCCAGTGCCAGCTGGTGAAGCAAATGGCAATGTGAGCTCGAACTGCATCTCCCCAGCCTTGTATCCAATTTGGATCACTTTTTGGTATGTGCCACGTAAATTTGCACTCAAAAGTGGTCTGCATTTTAGGCACATAAGTTTAACAACTATGATTAGGGTGGAGAAAAAAAGATGATAAATTATATGAATACACTATAATTTTGCAGAGCTTTTTTAAAAACTCCTATGTTAAGAAATGTTTAAACCAGAGTTGGTGAACTTAAAGCCACTGTTAATTTCCCCAACATCCTCATAATTGCTCCTACGTTTCTTTCCCTTTCTCAGAGTCCTGTGGTTTCCTAAATAATGCATATGGGTTACAAGACATAATATGAGTATTAGATGTTTTAATCAGAGGGCTTGAATCAGAACCTGTTACCCAGAGTCGATCTTGGGCAAGTCACTTGTGTTCTGAGAGTATCATTTCTCTCACTGGAAAAATGGTAGCTAAGTTGACCTTTGCTATTCATTTCTTAGCGTTTTAAAAAGAAAACATGTTCATATACCCAAAGAGTGTTTTATGGCAAACAAGAGCTTTCTCTTCCCAGAAGACAGTCTCCTTAGATTAGCAAAGAGGCTTCAAGGATTTGCAAACTGGCAGAGCTGCTGAACCACTATAGGCTTGAATTCTGACATTGATTCTATAAGAGTGGTGAGTAAGATAACTACCTTGACCTTATATGCTTACATTTATTTAAATCTTATAGTTGTGAATCCCACTTAAGGACATTAATAATACTGGTTGAATTTTATACTTTTAAAGAAAATAATATGATTGTCTTAGACTATTCCGGTCGCTTTAACAAAATACCACCCAGTTCAAAATACCAGATGGCTTATAAACAAGAAATTTATTACTTACAATTCTGGAGAATGGGAAATCCAAAATCAAGGCACCAGCAGATTCAAGATCCAGGCACCGGCAGATCTAATGTCCAGTGAAGGCCTGCTTCCTCATTCACAGATGGCCTGTCTTCTTACTTTGTCTTCACCTGGTGGAAAGAGTGAGGGATCTCTTCGATCTCTTTTATAAGGGCATTAATTCCATTCAGAGTATTGCTGTCTTTAGAAGTGTTCTCCACTAAAGAGTTTTATTAGGTGTGTAGGAGACAGATTTGTAGTCTACTGGACTTACTTTCACTTATTTCAGTTTTTATAACAGATGCTAAATTTATGATTCAAAGCTGCCTGATCACCTCCCAAAGGCCCCACATCCTAATACCATCACACAATGGGTTAAGAGTTCAACATATGAATTTTGGGAGGACACATTCAGTCCATTGCATTATGATGGCCATATAAAATATTTCCGGTTTTCTTTCTGGAAACATGGTAAGATTGCACTCCTTCCCCCATTCCTCTTTGGATAAAGGAATGTGAGTAGAAGTGACTTACATCACTATTAGTGAAAGTTTTAAGAAGCTGTGTCTATTTGCCACTTCTCTCTTCCACAGTTAGGCAAATTTGGAATGATGGCTATTTATCAGCCTGTGAATATAGAGGCCTAAATTAAAGCTTCCAGCCAACTCATGATATGCATGTAGAAGGAATGAGAAATAAACTCCCATGTAATAAGCATTTAGATGTTGGCTCTCTTTAAAAATATATTTATTGTGCTAAGAACACCTAACCTGAGGTCTATCCTCTTAACAAATTTTTAATTGTACAATATAGTATTGTTAGATGTAGGCACAATGTTGTATAGCAGATCTCTAGAATGTATTCATCTTGTATAAATGAGATTCTGTGCCCACTGATTAGCAACTGTTTCTCTCTCCCCATAAGTCCCTGGCAAGCCACATTCTCTTCTGTGATTCTACGTTTGACTAGTTTAGGTATTTCCTGTAAGTGAACTTATGCAGTATTTGTCCTTCTGTGACTAGCTTATTTTACTCAGTATAATGTCTTCAAGGTTCATCAATCTTGTTGCATTTTGCAGAATTTTCTTTTTTAAGGCTAAATAATAATCATTATATGTACATATCTCATTTTCTTTATTCATTCATTTTTTTATGAACATTTAGGTTGTTTCTACTTCTTGGCTAATGTGAATAGTACTGAAACGAACATGGGAGTAATGTATCTTTGAGATCCTGAATTTAATTCTTTTGAATAAATATCCTGCAGTGGGATGGCTAGATCGTATACCAATTCTATATTTAATTATACATATATAATTAGCATATATATAGGCTAATACAGTTATGAGGCCAAGAAGTCCTAGCTATGGGTAAACAGGAAAGATGGTGTTATAATACAGTCTGAGAAGAAAGACCTGAGAATTGGGAGGCCAATGGTATAAATCCCAATATGAGTACTAAAGCCCCTGAACCAGAAGAATATATGTCAGGCAGAAGAAGATGTTTATCCCAGCTCAAGCACAGAAAAGAAATTTGCCTTTCCTCCACCTTTTTGTTCTATCCTCAACGGATTGGACGATGCCCACCCACATTGGTGAGGGCAATCTTCCTTGCTCAGTCTACTGATTCACATTCTAATCTCTTCTTAAGGCACTTTCACACATATACTTAGAAATAATGTTTTACCAGTTATCTGGGTATCTTTTGGCATAGTCAGGTTGACATGAAATATTAACCATTTACATGCCATTCTGGTTTTTGATACCAACTGCTCCATTTAATATCCCAAAAACAGTGTACAGGGGTTCTCATTTCCCCATATCTTCACCAACAATTGAACAAATGTCCCTTTTTTTTTTATAATGCCCATCCTGAGAGGTGTGGGGTAATATCTCACTATGATTAGTAACATTGAGCATCTTTTCTTTTAAGTTTTGGTCCCTTGCATGTCCTCTTTAAAGAAATGTGTATTCAAGTCTTTAGTTCATTTTAAAATCAAGTTGTTAGTTTTCTTGCTAATGAGTTAAGTTTCTTGTATATTTTGGAAATTAACCCCTTATCAGACATCTGGCTTGCAAATATTTTCTCCCACTCCATAAATTGCCTTTTCGTTTTGTTGATTATTTTACTCTGTGAAGGAGTTTTTTGGTTTAATATAGTCCTGTTTGTCTACATTTGCATTTTTTTCCTTTTCATTTCATATCCATAAAAGCATTGGCAAGACCAATGTCATGAAGTTTTTTATATTTTCTTCTATAAGTTTTATAGTTTTAGGCATTATGCTTAAATCACTAATCCATTTTGGGTTTATTTTTGTGTGTGTGCATGTTGTAAGATAAAGACCCAGTTTCTTACTTTTTACATGTGGATATTCAATTTTCCTACCACCATTTGTTGAAGAGATTATCTTTCCCATTGTGTGTTCTTGACACCTTTGCTGAAGATCAGCTAACCCTATATGCATGATACATAATTTGGCTGTATCTCCACCTAAATGTCGTCTTGAATTGTAGCTCCCATCATTCCCACATGTCATGGTAGGGACCTATGGGAAGTAATTGAATCATGGTGGTGGGTCTTTCCTGTGCTGTTCTTGTGAAAGTAAATAAGTCTCATGTGATCTGATTGATTTATAAAGGGGAGTTCCCCTGAACAAACTCTTGCCTGTTGCCATGTAAGATGTATCTTGCTTCCCCTTCGCCTTCTGCCATGATCGTGAGGCCCCCCAGCCATGTGAAAATATGAGTCAATTAAACTTCTTTCTTTTACAAATTACCCAGTCTTGGTATGTCTTTATTAGCAGCATGAGAACAGACTAATACACATGAGCTTATTTTTGAGTTCTTTATTATGTTCCATTAGTCTATATGTCTTTTTTATGCACGTGTTATAATTTTTCTACTGTATATTTGTAACATATTTTGAAAACAGAAAGTATTATATGCCTCCAGCTTTGTGGTTCTATGTGAATTGTAGGATTGTATTTTCTGTTAATATTAAAAAATAGGCACTGAGATTTTGATAGGGATTACACTGAATCTATAGATCACCATAGGAAATATGGATATTTTAATAATATTCATTCTTCCAATCCACGCAAGCAAGATGTCTTTCCATTTATCTGTGTCTTCTTTAATTGTCTCCATCAGTGTTTTATAGTTTTCTGTGTGAAAGTGTCACTTTTTTGGTTAAGCTTATTTGTAACTATTTGATTCCTTTTGTTGCTAGTAATAAGTGGGATTGAATTCTTATTTTATGGATAGTTGTTTGTGTACAGAAATGACACTGATTTTGTGTTGATTTTGTATCCTGCAACACACAAAATTTATTTAATCTAATATTTTTTGGTTGAGTTGTTAGGGTTTTCTCTGTATATATTATTCTGTCATCTTCAAACAGAGATAATTTTACTTCTTCCTTTCCAAATTGGATGATTTTATTTCTTTTTTTGCCTAATTGTTTTGGCTAGGACTTCTGGTCCTATGTTAAATAGAAGTGGCAAAAGTGGGCATCCTTAGCTTTTTACTGACCTTAAAGGTGCAGTGTTCAAGTTTTCACTATTGAGCAGAATGTTAGCTGAGGGCTTTTCATAGGTAGACTTCAATATGTTGAGGTTCTTTCCTTCTGTTCCTAGTTTGTTGAGAATTTTTATCATAAAAATGTGTAGACTTTTATCAAATTCTTTTTTATGTGTTTTGAGATGATCATATGGCTTTTTTCATCTTTCATTCTTTTAATGTGATGTATCACAGTTGTTGATTTGCATATGTTGAATCATCCTTGCATCTTGGGGATAAATCCCCCTTGGTCAATGGTGAAAGATTCTTTTAATGTGCTGTTGAATTTGGTTTGCTAATATTTTGTTGATGATTTTTGCATCTATATTCATTAGAGACATTGACATGCAGTTTTCTTTTTTTGTGGTGCCTTTGTCTAGCTTTTTTATCAGGGTAATTCTGGCCTCATAAAATAAGTTTGGAAGTGTTTCCTTCTCATCAATTTTTTGGAAGAGTTTGAGAAAGATTGGTATTAACTTTTCAAGTGTTGCATACAATTCATCAGTGAGGTGTCTGGTCCTGAGGTTTTCCTCATTGGGAGATTTCTTGTTCCTGATTCAATATCTATACTAGTTATAGGCCTGTTCATACGTTTTATTTCTTCATGATTCAGTCTTGGTAGGATGTATGTTTATAAGAATTTGTGTGTTTCTTCTAGGTTTCCCAGGTTTCTGGTATATAATAGTTAATGTAATCTCTTATAATCCTTTGCATTTTTGTGGTATCAGCTGCAATATCTCCTCTTTCTTTTCTGATTTTATGTGAGTTGTCTCTTTTTTCTTAGTTATTCTAGCTTAATATTTTCAATTTTATCTTCTCAAAAAACCAACTCTTAGTTTCATTGTTTTTTCTACTGCTTTTCTGGTCTTCATTTTATTTATTCTTCTATGACCTTTATTATTTCCTTGTTTCTGCTGACTTTGGATTTAGTTTCCTCCTATTTTTCAGTTTCCTTGAGATATAAAATGGGGTTGTTTGAGATCTTTCTTCTTTTTTAATATAGGCATTTATCACTGTAAATGTCCTTCTTAGTACTTCTTTTGCTGCATTCAGAAAGTTTGTTATGTTCTATTAATATTTTATTTTTTTCAAGGTACATTCTATCTGTTTGGATTTTTTGACTCATTGGTTGTTCAAACGTGTATATTTATTTTCCACATGGTTGCACCTTTTCTGGTTTTCCTGTTGTTATTGATTTCTAGTTTATTACATTTTAGTTGAAAAGGTACTTGGTATTTTTTCAATATTATTAACTTTGCTAAAACTTTTTTGTTACTTTATATGATCTATCTTGAAAAACATTCTGTATGCGCTTGAGAAGAATGAATATTATTTTGCTGTTGAGTGGAATGTTTTGCAAAGATGTATTAGTACCATTTGATCTGTGGGGTTGCATGCGTCTACTGCTTCTTTGTTAGTTTACTATCTGGTTGCTTTTCTATCAATTATTGAAAGTAGAGTGCTAAAATCTCCTACTGTTATTGAAGCATTATCTATCTTTCCCTTTGGTATTATCAATGCTTGTTTCATATATTTAAGTGCTCTCCTGTTGGATGCATATATATTTATAATTGT